TTTTGGATCAGCAATATAATAAGATGAATGAAGTAGATGATTAATGATATATAATTATAAAGGATTTATGATTATTGTAATGAGAAATGGTAAAGTTTAATTTTTAGATATTTGGATTGGGGGAGTTGGATAACTATATTATATTATGAGTCTTGGTGTTAAAATAGAGTTTTTTACTATTTGAGTTAAAGTTTTTTTTTAAGGATTGTTTTTGAAGCTTATACTTTTAAAATTTTGGATTAGTATTATAAATAAGATGAATGAAGTAGATGATTAATGATATATAATTATAAAGGACTTATGATTATTGTAATGAGAAATGGTAAAATTTAATTTTTAGATATTTGGATTGGGGGAGTTGGACAATTATATTATATTATGAGTTTTGGTGTTAAAATAGAGTTTTTCCATTATTTGAGTTAAAGTTTTTTTTAAGGATTGTTTTTGAAGCTTATATTCTTAAAATTTTGTATTAGTATTATAAATAAGAAGAATGAATTTATATGAATGTCTTGAAGTAGATGATCAATGATATATAATTATATTATTTTAAAGGATTTAATTTTTGTAGTTAATGGGATTATTATAATGAGAAATGGTAAAGTCTAATTTTTAGATATTTGGATTGGGGAAGATGGATAATTATATATGAGTGTTGGTGTTAAAATAGTATAATTTTTTTTTTATTCGAGTTAAAGTTTTTTTTTTATATAACTGATTGCTTTAGGGTGTGTTAGTTCTGGGAAGTCGGGGAGGGGAGGCGATTAGGGGGAAATTATAATTTGATGTATTTAATTATTATAGGTATATAATGGAATTGTATTAAGAAGAGGATATACTCGGCTGGTACCCCAAGTTGCACTCGATGAGGTGGTTAAGAAGGCGAAGGGGATGTAGAGAGGTGGTAAGAAAAGGAGGAGAGGTTGTAGGTTTAGGGGGAGGAAGGAGAGGTAAAGTGGATGAGGGTGGAGGCAAGGCGGGGACTGCCGAGTGTATCCGAAAATGTTTTGAGTATCTTTATTGTTTGTTGATGTATATACATGCATCATTTGTATTTGTTTTAATTGAAAAATTAATAAAAAAATGTTATAAAAAAAAACAACTTATTTTTAGGGGAAGCTTTTTATTCTACTTAATAGTTTGTTAAAACACAATGGGCAGCCTTAAATTGCTTCTAAGTTTAGTTCTGTTTTTGTTTTAGGAAATAAATAGCTTTACATACCCTTCTCATACAGTAATTCCTTTCCAGGAGTGCCAGACCCTGGAGTCTGAAAAAAATCAATTGCGCGAGGAGATGAAACAAGCTAAGTCACGGGAGCTTCGCCAGTTGCAGGATTGTGGAGAGCTTGAGGAAGAAAATATCTCCTTGCAGAAACAGG